TCTCTCTCTCTCTCTCTCTCTCTCTCTGTCTCTCTCTCTCTCGATCTCTGATATGACTCTTTGTTCAAAACATTTTGCAAGGCCGTGTAGTCTAGACATATCTATAGGTTTCCATCCAGAGTCACAATAAATTACAAGAAAAGCAAGGTAAACACAACTATAATTGAAGCCTAGACTTGTTTGGATGTTATTTTTAAGTTCTGTTTTCAATGTTCTCGTGGTCCTGGTCACAGCAGCCTGACAAAAGGCTTGACTATGAGGCTTACATCAGATGTCTTGTCTCCTCGACCAAAATTAGTAACAAACTCAAGTTCGTGCCAAATGCTTGTCTTGGTCTCCGGACAGCATGAAACAGTCCCAACACTAGCTGACATGAAAGAATTTGCCCAACTGAAACAAATACCTGAAGACCTCACTCTATTTTTTCTTGTTGATGGGTTAGATGGCCAAAAAGACATGTGTTTTTTTATTGATTTTTCATCTTTCTGCTGCTTGCAGAACATTGTGCGGGGCTGCAGTGTGCTGTTGGGCCCCGGTACCTCTGGGCTCTGGCGGGCTCTCGCTCAGAGTCAGAACCACATCCCGGGCGGCGGTCCGGCCGAGCTGACGGAGCTGCTGGAGCAGTACGCCCAGATTCTGGCCCAGAACATGAAGCACACCTACCTCAACCCTGTGGCGCTGGTTGCTCCAAACATAAGTGAGTTCAGAAAGATTACACACAAACAGAGACACACACACTCACTCAGGCATAATACAAAAGCTTATCCCTACTCAGACCCAATATAAGAGACTAAGACAGTAATAAAATCTGGTAGCACTTTATAATAACTACACACTATGAAGCATTAGTTAAGTATGAGTAAACACTTAATTCATCATTTAGAAAGCATTGTTCCTACATTAATAATTCATTAGTATGCAGTTCATAACAACAGTTGTAAATGTTTTATTCTTGATTAATAAGCTCGTATATTATGTGTTTCATGATTGTGTTTTCATACTTTATAAATGATGGATTCCCTATTTGTAAATGAAGTATTATATATTTTACAAACCAATTATTAAGGAGTTGTAGATGATTAATAAGATCATTGATAAAGTGTTAGTAAATGATTAATAACTTATTTAGATGTATATTATTCATGCATTTATATATATAATGATTAGGGACTATGTTAATATATGCTTTATAAATGCATATTAATACTGCAATTCATGATAAATTCATGATTTATTAAGGTAGTTACTACTCATTAGTAAAGTGTTTTATGTGACCTCATCTAAAGTGAGGACTATTTATGCCTTATAGAGCATTTATTAAGTATTTTGTGTGACCTCATCTAAAGTGAGGACTATTTATGCCTTATAAATCATTTATTAAGTATTTTGTGTGACCTCATCTAAAGTGAGGACTATTTATGCCTCACAAAGCATTTATAAATGACATTGAAAGGCCAGCAGTGCCTCAAGACACATTTTGAACAGAACAGGCAAATAGACACAACACAAAGTGATCAAGAACATATTAATATTTATTGCAAGATGCAAACAATATACTGTTAAATACAAACCTCTCATCCATTCATACATGTAAGAAACAAACAAACAAAGACATTCTCCTTCAGGAGAACATGGCTGTATATAAAACGTTTGTAAATATACGACTGGAGCGAACCAGGAGCTTTGCCTATTAGTTTACATTTACTTATTTAATTATTCATTTCATACCAAGCATATCGATCTCCACTGTTCGTACTTTTCTTCAGTTGCATGTCCCGATGGCAGCCGGCCGAATCTGTTCATTGTTTACAATAAACGAAATCCTACTTGTGAGATGGACAAAGGAAAAGACCGCTTCATACATCATCAACGTGGGACAAACGTTTCGCCCAGGAACTGGTACAGAAGTGCACTTACGCGATGGATCCGGGCCAGAAATAATGACTGCTGACGGTTCTCCAATGCCCGTCTGTTTGTTTCTTAGTTTGCTGGCACGTAACGTTACACATTATGGAGGATGAGTATCCAGCTAGCCTTCCAGCTAACACTAGAGGTCCTGAGACAGGCGCACGCTCACGCGTCACCTCCCTTGTAAATAGAGCAATCTAGGTGACAGATGGCTAACGAGCTGTTATATGTGGAGTGGATGTGAATGAGGTCGATATGCTTAAAATGAATAATTAAATAAGTAAATGTAAACTAATATGCAAAGCTCCTGGTTAATGGATGAGAGGTTTGTATTTAATAGTATATTGTTTGCATCTTACAATAAATATTAATATGGTCTTCATCACTTTGTGTTGTGTCTATTTGCCTGTTCTGTTCAAAATGTGTTTTGAGGCACTGCTGGCCCTTCAATGTCATTAATAAATGCTTTGTAAGGCATACATAGTCCTCACTTTAGATGAGGTCACACAAAACACTTTACTAACGAGTAGTAACTACCTTAATAAATCATGAATTTATCATGAATTGCAGTATTAATATGCGTTTATAAAGCATATATTAACATAGTCCCTAACCATTATATATACTGTATAAATGCATGAATAATGTACATCTAAATAAGTTATTAATCATTTACTAACACTTTATAAATGATCTTATTAATCATCTACAACTCCTTAATAATTGGTTTGTAAAATATATAATACTTCATTTACAAATAGGGAATCCATCATTTATAAAGTATGAAAACACAATAATGAAACACATAATATACGAGCTTATTAATCAAGAATTAAACATTTCTAACTGTTATGAACTGCATACTAATGAATTATTAATGTAGGAACAATGCTTTATAAATGATGAATTAAGTGTTTACTCATACTTAACTAATGCTTCATAGTGTGTAGTTATTATAAAGTGCTACCTAAAATCTTAATCTTTACGGATGATTTGCAGCGGTTTTCTCATAATACTGTAAATCGCTGCTGTGAAATCAGCTAGAATGACTCAGTGTAAAGCGGGAGATGAAGAGCGCGAATGCAAATGATGATGGCACGGCCAGAGCGCTGGGAGCAGGACAGAGAGATGAATTTCACACTCCCACACACACACACACACACACACACACACACACCAGTTAAAGCTTTCAGCACACACACACACACAAACCCCGAAGCACTGTAGCACTTTCCGGCATACATAATTTAGATTTACAGATGCCAAACACACACATGATCACACACATAGCAGACATTAACACACACACAGAAACACACACATTCTCTTCATCTGTTACAGTACATGTCCTATACATCTGCAGGTTTGGCCATGTGCCCTGTGTCATTTAGTTTCTGGCATCCTGTCACTTGTGCATTTTGCTCTTTTCCACATTTTTCTGTCACTTTAGCAGTGTTGAAAATACTGTTAAAAAATGTGTGCCACATGCAACAACAAGGTGTTGAAATAGCAACAACAGCAGCAGCTCTGACAGGGATGAAGCCAGACAATGAATTCCACACTCAGTTAATGCTCTTAGCTACACACACAGATTGGATTCCTAGAAAACACCATCCAACCAAAACTCATGAAACTCATCAAAGTTACCATCTAGTGAATCTTGCCCCACCAGCTTCCTCCAGTGCTGTTTGGTAGCACCGTTAATCCCAGACCTGCCGGAAATATAAAATAGGCTTACCTTCCTTGGCCAATATGAATTGCCTGCTTTTATTTACATTCTATATTCTATGTGACTCTCATCTCTCTCTCACTTAACTGTTTATGCTTTGCCTTTGGATTACATCCAAAACGCTGTTAGATCATCTAAAACTGACAGCGTGATGCTCATCCCCAGACGGGGAGCATAGAATTAGCGGCAGTGAAAGCAGAAGGAATAAGAAATGCAGCCAACGTTCACACTCCTACACACACACATACAGACAGTTGATGCTCTCAGCTAAAAGGGATGGAATGAATAACGTTTATAAAGATACGGATGGACCTGACACACACCCATCTGTTAGCTTCCAATACACTTTTATTTTTCTCTTGTTTTTTATCATTAAAATGCCAAATCTTCTATTTTATTTCACCAATAAACCATTTGTTTCGCCATCAAAATTGTCATTACAGACTTTTAAAATCAGAAAAACAGTCAGTCAGACAGTCTACACACACACACACACACACACACACACACACACACACAGACATAACACACGTCTGTTATATTGAGTGATGTCTCTCCTCTCTCAGTATTGAGTGCTGTTCCACTTATGTTTGGTTGGTCAAGTGTTCACTCATTGTTGAACACTCCACATTGACTATGTACTTCCTGTTCGCCACCTCATTTCCCATAATATAACAGTTCCTCTGGTCCTGTGTTTGTGTGTGTGTGTGTGTTTGTTTGTGGAGTATGTATTGTGTTTACACAGTCCTAAATCCACAGAGATTCAATTGGTTTATTGACACAGGTGGTTCAGGTTTCCCCTTGTATTGTATTGTATTTAAGAAGGGAAATTAGAATCAGAATCAGCTTTATTGACCGCGTACGCATACAAGGAATTTGACTCCGGTTTTTACGTTTCTCTCAAAGTACATACACAGAATATACAAAACCCAAAAAATAAAAATAACAAAGTAGAACAGAGGTAAGCAATTAGTTAAATTTTTTAATTAACAAGAGCATAATTACCCTTCACCTAATTTGAGTAAAATTAGCAAAGTTTGACATTATTTTCATGATTTCCAGCTGTCAGAAAGCTCAAAGAACCCTTTCTTGCTTGTGTAGCTTTGGACCAATTGAAACATGGTGTGTACTGAATGGTTTTTTATCAACTGTTGATTAAGGAGGTTTCAAATGTGTCGTTATAGCTGCAACCCTGAGCAACAATACATGGATAAAGGATGCTGTTCTTCCAGTGGAAATATGGCCTCCCTTTCGCAGTTCTTCTGGTGGGAGTAGTGAAAGTGTGATGTAAAAATCCCTTTCAACTTGCTGACCTTGTATTTAGTAAAGAAACTAAATGTGAATAATAACTCAGCAGCAGTGACTGATTCTTTGTAAGAGTCTGCACTTTATTCAATAAATAGCATCTTCCGCAGGCATTTAAGGGAAGTATTGATTTAAGGTTAACACCCGCCACCTATATTGTATGAAATGATGTGTGTTCATGTGCGTTTACTGCTCCCGTTTGTTTGTCAGTCATGAACCTCGACCGCGTGGAGAACCAAACCCACGTGCGGCGGCGTTTCCCACGTTACCACACCACCCTGTTTCGCGGCCAGGCTTTGTGGGACCCCAACACCCATGTGATACTCCCCCCTGCTGCCCTGGTGCCACAACGACAGCAACAACAACACAACTGGAAAGAGAAGGAGCGGACAGAGAAAGAGCGTAAGAACAGACATAGAATGAAATGCTTGATAGTGTAAGCGGTCGAAACTAAGAGAAACATACTGACACAGACTTCTCCATTTCAGCCTTGGCCCCTCAGAACGCTGCTGTGGCCCCTGTCAGTATCTCAGCCAATCAGACAGGAGAATACACTGCAGCCAGACGCACTGTTTCAATGCCAGAGCAGCCCATCACCATCGTTATCTTGCTGATCTATCGCAGTCTGGGCGGCGCCCTCCCTCCCAAGTACCACACAGACCGACGAGGAGTGAGGTGGGAATCAATCACACTCAGAACAATAAAGATCTGACGACAGCAGAAAGGAAGGAAACATGCTGGCTATAGAATCGGGATTTCCCATGTCGCCTTTATTCAGCAGCAAACAGTGAACCACAATTGCTTTTATATAACAGGAGCATCACATCATTAGAAACACATTCTGCACTATATATCTTTATCGTTATTTATCGTAATTAGAAATCGCAATTTTGCTCGATGAATTCCATAATAGAACAATTAATGGACCTTTTTCACAGCAGTTTTTTTTTCTTGTCATAATAAGAAAAGCACAGGTGAAATTGGTAACAATTAAGATGGCTCAGTCCCATTAAGTGTCCCAGTATGCTACTCCAGTGAGCCACCCATCTGAATGCACCTATTAGTAATGTTATTGAACGCACCTGTGCTTTTCCTACTACGACATGTCAAAATATCTGCCGGGAAAACGGTGTATTCATGATCAAAATTGTGGCCTATGAAGTTTCTGTCAGTCGATTAATAGTTGATTGACTATCAGCTTCAGCATTAGTTCCAATAGCATCTTCCTTACATCTGTTTTTTTTCTCTACCTTCTCTCACGGTAGCTCTCTTTCTCTCTCAACTCTCCTCCCATCGCTCTCCCCCTCTGCTCTTCCTCACCTCACCTCCGGCCTTGATTACAAATTAACAAACTGTCCAATGTTCAGTAGATGTCAATGAACAGTCATTTAACTCTTGTCTAGCACACCGTCTCTGCTCACCTTGTCTTCGCCTTTTTTACTGTCCTAACCAAGAAATCAAACTCTGCTTTCCATCTTATTTAGTAGAAGCATGGTAACTCTGCGCTCTCTCCCTCCCTCAGGCTGCCCAGACACCCGGTAATGAACTCCCCAGTAGTCAGTATCTCTGTCTACAACAACCAGACGTTTGTGGGTGGGCACTTGGACCAGCCCATCCTGCTTGAGTTCAAGCTCCTGGAAACAGCCAATCGCAGCAAGCCACTGTGTGTGCAGTGGAACCACAGCAATCAGTGAGTATAGATTACACTGGTTCATATATTCCTACACACACACACACACACACACAAATCGATCAGGGCAGTAGGGCTGGTTATTGTCAGTATGCAATACAATGACTTTACACTATACATATATACATAATATATTATGATATATGGCTATATGTATAATTTTAATGCATTATGGAGACATTTCCGTGTGGTGCCGTGTTTTGAAATTCTGTAGCTTTATAATGTGGAAAATACATCTGTCAAAATATTATCTTAATTGGAGGAGTTGGGGTTTTGCTTTTAAGTTTGAAATATATGCAACGTCTGCCTTTAGACTTTCTCGCGCTGGACTTATGGCAGCCACCCGTATTATACACTTTTGTTTTTGCAGACCTGTCATAGTAGGAAAAGCAGAGGTGTAACCAATAACAATAAAGATGATTCACTTACATAAAGTTTCCAAGTAAGCCGTGTCAGACGGCCAGCGTGCTCAATGACAGGGCCCTGGAACTGGCCCAACTATATGGAATGCAGTCATTGATGTAATTAATTACACCGGTGTGCTTCCTGTCATAACTGTCAACATGTCTGCTGCGAAACAGGTTTATTTATGGAAGTAGTGCTGTGAAGTGGACCTTAAACATGAAGTGTTAAGTGACACAGAAAAAAAACCTGTACATTTTTTAATTCACAGAGGGGGTACCACTGTTCATATGAGGACCCGCAGCTGAATCACAAAATTCTAACTGCAATGTAGTGTGTTCCCTTTTTACTCAGTGCCACACACACACACACAGTAACACACGGGTATATGCCCACTGACAGCAGAGAGCATGCATTCCTTGCCTCACACACAAGCGGCAACATATCATACAGATAGTGTGTTCATGTCTTTGTGTCCGCACCTCTGTTACAATTGACCTTTTACTATTAACCGTCTTGTCTCTCTCTCTCTGCAGGTATGAGATAGGAGGCTGCTGGACAGTCAGGGACTGCATGGTGGTGTACAGGAACACCTCCCATGTCCGCTGTCAGTGCCAGAGACTGGGCACCTTCGGGGTGCTGATGGACAGTTCGCACAGAGAGGTTAGTGATCTGTCAGTGGAGAACTACTCACACGCGCCACATATTTATTCCATTCATATGCCTCTGTATCATAATGAAGCATGTAATGGATTAATTGTGCATTAACTATCAGTGATCATGCTGTGTAAACACGCACAGACCTGGTTTTGCCAGTGTGTCCGTTTTCATTCTTTTCTTCATCTGAACATCTCAGCTGGTAATTGCTTGTAATGTAATCGGTGTAGAGGTTTGAAATCCCGGAGAATTAATCCTGCCTGACATTCTGAAGGCTAAAGAAAGTCTTGTTACAGCTGTAGACGATTTTCACAGTTTAATGCAAACCCCCTGCCAGTCACTTCCCAGCATACTAAGTAATGATGTATCAGATCTTGACGTTTGAGATTGCAAACTAGTGGAATCAGAAACCTCATGCCTTGCGATGAATTTAAAGTTGTACATTTCCACCAAATATGTATAGTTCACATTGAATAATGCACTAGTCCAGAGCAATGAGAAGAGGGGTGACTGGTGATGTGCTCAATTTGCCCAGATACAATTCTGAAGGTGTTTCTTATGTTTACTGGCAGCGATTGCTCTCTGTGCATGCAAAGGTAGTGGTCTTAATCAGTTTCATGCTTTTGATACCCTGATTTCTCCTGACAGATAGAAAGGTCTGCTAGTTTGCTTTGTCTGTTGTTGGATTCGTCTGCTTACTTTCATTTTCTCTTTCAAATGCCTTGAGACCGGCTCATAATAAAGACATAAATTACTTTCAACAGTTTGAATACGGAGATACTTTGCCTCTTTCAATCCTTTCAAAACCTTTAATATTCAGCATCACAAAGCAGCCGGCATCCTGGGCAGTTAAACAATGTTACATGTCATACTTCATAATAATGGATTGATTTTTATGAATCTGAAACAAGTGGCTGCCTGGTGCAGATTCTTCATCTTAATTACTTGCTTTCCAAATAATTTATTATCTCTGTCATAAATATCGTCAGTTCAAGTGAAGCCAGACAGATGAAGGCATTTACCCAGACTGAGGTAGCAGCATTTCAACAAATTAAAATGATTCATTTGCAGCTCTTTGTCTTATTTCACCTTGTGCTTTTTAATATTACTACTCCCCTTCTTCCCTCTGTTCTTCCTTTCCATGTGCTCCCACCAAAATGATCTCAGTTTGATAATACCGTGTCTCCCTTCTCACATCTCTGTATGAGCAGCAGTTGGAGGGGGATCTGGAGTCGCTGGCCCTGGTCACATATTCCTCTCTGATCGTCTCCATGCTGGCCCTCCTGCTCACAGTCCTGGCGCTCTCCTGCCTCCGAGGCCTCAAGTCCAACACCAGGAGCATCCATTCAAACACAGCGGCAGCCATGTTTTTGTCGGAGCTGGTGTTTCTGCTCGGGGTCAATCAGACGGAGCAGCAGGTAGATACTGGTGGCTTGTTTTCCTGTAGCCTTGTTTGTCTTTGGCTTTCTTGCCTTCCTCTTTTTCATCACTGTCAGTTTGCTTTTGGCATAATTATTGTCTCATTTTTAGCCACGCATTGCAGATTTGAAGGTGTACTTAATGCTGGGCGATATGGAGAAAATCAAATATTATATATATATTGCCCAGCCCTAGCAGTACCCACCTTTAAACCGCTGCCTTCTTTCTTTATACTGTAGAACACAATATATCCTCCTTTTGCTGGTGCAGCTCTAAAAGATACATCAAGACATCTCTGTCTTTTTACCTTTCTTCTGCTATTCGTCCTCCGTATTGCTCCATCCTGCTCACTTTGTTCCTCTCTACATCATGTGTTTTTTTTGCTGCTTACTTACTGTAAGTCCTCTTACTATTATGCTCAGTACTTTTCTCTTGTTTTCTTCCTCTCTCCTGACTCTCCTTCTTTTTCATTACATCACAAACGTGTGTGTACGTAAAGAGCAGTGGGTCTTGTACAGAGGGGGTACTGCAAGTATGTGCTCACTCAGCATGAAATCTAATTAATTAAGCTGTATCCCCCACTCAGTCAACTGTACGGCTCTTAACAGTGAGACCGGTTACTTCTAGCTGAACAATATGTTCTCTTATTCATGTGCATCATGCTTGGGAGAGCATGTTGGTGCTCGAGTGTTTGTGTGTACACTTGGTTTTACATGCTTGTGCACAATTTAATCTTTCTTTTAGTGTGTAACTTGGTGTGTGTGTGTGTGTGTGTGTGTGTGTGTGTGTGTGTGTGTGTGTGGGAGTGTGAAATCCATCGTCTAGCTGTATTCCTGCCAAGGCGGCTGCTATTTCTATGTTGTCTCTGGCTGTGTCGTTAGGAATTTGTACTGAGCTTCTTTTAACCTCATCCGGGCGGTACGAGTTGGCTTTCCTTAATTTAAAGATGTAGAGCGCTCAGCTGCAAAACTTCTTGAGTGAAGTGTTTCTCCTTTTTCATTAGAGTTGTGAAGTTTACATTTACATTTTAGGTGTTTAACAGCACACATCCAAAGTAATTTAAGACTGCAACAGCTTAATGATGTCATAGTTTTATTTCTTTGGTAGTGAAAAAGTATTTTGATTGTGCATATCTATATATAATTTGTCATCATGTTGCCAACATGACCCTATTGGTGAACGTTATGAATATCATGTGTCTGTCCTGTTGGCGGGCTGCAGTCACACATCCCAGGAAACCAGAGTTGATAAAGAAAAACTCACAAGAAGCCCGGTCATTAAACCAGCATTTTGTTAATCCCAAATATTTTGACAGAGAGGGAGAGTCGAAGCAGATCTGATTCCAGTCTTTCCAAGTTAAGCCAAGACCGGATTGACAGCCTGAGCCTTTTGAGCTGTAATCTTTCATTGTCTGGTGTTTATATCCGTTAAGAACACACAAAATAAATCACACCAGACCCACACAAAATAAATCACACCAGACCATTTATGTTCTCACTTATTTTCGTTGTACTCAGCATTTAAAACATGGCTTTGAAAGCTGGCTGTCAGTTGCCAGCAGCCATCTATTCTAACTCACAAACCCGTACCTTCTCTAGTTGTTGCCTGTGGTTGGTTTATAGAGCGGGGCCAAATCCTCTATCCCGATATAGCTCATTACATATCTCAATAATGATATGTATGTTTTCTGGTAATTCAATTTTAAAAAATGTCTGTATGACATAAGCACATGGTAAAGGCACGTGGTGCTGGTTAACAGATAGCTTGCATTCGGAAATGCCTGTAGTGGGGACCGGCGTGTTGCTGTCTGCTGTTGTTTTGACATTGCGATAGATACAATATAGAAAAACAATAGACATTTTATAGATAGACATCATATCGCCGAGCCCTTTAGTTTAGTTTCCGTCTTCTGAGAAACAGCACCACAGTTCTCTTAGAAGACGATGATGACGTGCACTTTCAGATGTGTAAGGTGCTGTAATTCAGAGCCACTCTAGTTTGAATGGCATCTTCCTCATCTGGTTAAACAAACAACACAGACCGAAGCCCCCGGAGTTCAAATACACCACTTTAGACAAGCTTGACTGCAGCCTGAGGGTAATTTCTCAGCATTACTTCCAAAACAAACAGCAGCACTTCACTGACAAAAGGGATTTGGAAGTTGATCTCCTGCTCTGACAAAACATGCTCAAATTCATTCCTGATAATATGCAATCTAAACCGTGGCATTGCACGGACTTCAGATATTTATGTTAAAGCGTCTCTGAAAACTGATTTGACATCCTCTCAGCATTCGTGCAGCATCATCTATGGCGATAAAGACATTTTCCATATATCCATCAATACTGTTTCATGGATGTTTCAAAAGACGAAAATAAAGAAATCAACCACGGACCAAGCTCTCCCCTAAATATATGGTATAATTCATAATATGTATTGCTTACAGAATGTTTTTTGTAGCAGGTCATTTGATGAAAGCTTGAAATATACGATTTTGAATTGGAGTAAATATGTTTTTTCTGAGCTGATTATTCTTCTTAAAACCATAAAACCAGTTGAATGATCTGTATTTATTGCTGTTTTGTATTATTGTAAACGTATTTGTTACATGAACGCTTTCAGTCTTCTACCCACATAACTGCTGTGACAGCCACATTACCTGCGAGCGTACTTTCCTCTACCGACGGTGCTTTCTTTCACACACATAATCATAGTTAACGCACTCTTGGGTATTATTGCTATAATTCAGCATCATAAAGACATTAATCTACATTCATATCATTAATTTTTTTGCTTTTCCTGGAGACTTACTGTAACATGCTGCCATAAACTCTGTTCATTAGTCACATTGGTAATTAAATCATGCAAGTCTGTCACTTCATCGCTGACACCTGCTGTGTTTTATTAAAGACTTGTTGGTTGCTTGCCAAGAAGTCTGCTCTGCACCTGTCGCAAAATCAATACAAAGGTTGATATTGTTTTTATTGCTCCCCATCTTTTCTTCCTTACCTCTCCTTCCCTTCTTCTTTGTTTCATCCCTGCTTCTCCTCTCTTCTTTCTCCTTCTGCTGTCTCCATCTTCCCCCTTGCTTCCTTTGCTTTAATTGTTCTCTTTCTCTGCCCCTCCAGTTCCTGTGTACGGTTGTGGCCATTCTCCTGCATTACTTCTTCATGTCCACGTTTGCCTGGATGTTCGTGGAAGGCCTTCATATCTACCGCATGCAGACTGAGCAACGCAACATCAACTACGGCGCCATGAGGTTCTACTACGCCATCGGCTGGGGCGTGCCCGCCATTATCACAGGTAAGACACACGCATGCACACACGTAGGATCTCTGGGATGTTTGTCGGAAGCGTGTCTATGCATCCACGTCCTCGCCACATTTATTCACGGCAACAGACTGTCATATATGTGCACAGACACACACACCCACACATTCCGATGAGTCTGACTGTGTAGATAAGGTTTCTGTGACATTTAATTAGAGAGATAGTAGAGCACAGACACACACACACAAGCAATTTATTCCTTGACACATATGGTAAGCAAGCCATTTCTGTCTCCCCTCTTTTTATACAAACACACACACACACACACACACACACACACTTGCAGTTTCCACCCGGATACATGCTGTCAACTCCTCTCTATCTGTTGCTCGTTCTGTCACGCACACACACACACACACACACACACACACCCCGACCGCTGTTTCACCTTGCCTCAAGAATGGATCTGTCTCCCACCACACATACACACACACACACACACGCTGGCTGCATGTCTCTTTCCTCCGGCTCAGAGGTGCGTTTAATCCGTCTGTCCGTCTTTATTTAAACCCTTCCTGTCTCTCTTCTTTTGCAATTCAATTTAAAAAATCTTTATGGTCATGACTGTCAAAACCTTGACAGTTGTCCAAAGGAGGAATTAAGACTTCACAGTTCACGTCACCACTCTCACAGCGACCCAGTATAGCAACATCATAGAGGTGTGGTCATGTGGTGAAGAAATAACGGATGAATAAAAAATAATTTGTCATGATTAAAACTGATACTTGTGTTGTGGTTGTACGCATGTTCAGGGATGTTCTCACACACACATAATCCAAACATTATGTGGATTTTGTCTTTTCTGTTTCGTCTTAAGCACGAGTCTCCTTCAAAATACACAAGATGAATCAGCTCAGTTACAACTTGAGAGAATCAGGTGGAAATTAGTGTAAAATAATCCCAAAGTATAGCTAATATTATCTATGTTTGGTAGTATTAATGTTGGATAGTAATATATCAGAATTATAATTTAATATTCTGGAAACGTTAAATGTCTGAAGGCACCATAATGCATTTGCAGCCACAGTTTCCAACATGCTGATTTTCTTTAACATGATGTTTTGTGGCCTGAAATTATTATTTAGTAAATAACTACTGATTAAAATAGGTGTGTTACGTCTCATGCCTTTCCTGCCAAAGCCATTCAGATAATCTCAGGCAGTCACATCCTGTACTGCCTCTCTCTTCTTGTCTCATCTGCAGGCCTAGCGGTGGGCCTGGACCCAGAGGGATACGGGAACCCAGACTTTTGTTGGATCTCCATATATGACAAACTCATATGGAGCTTTGCTGGTCCTATAGCCATCGTCATACTGGTAACTGTCCCCTGTCTGTCTGATATACAGTAGTGAATGCTAATGTACGCACACAAACATATAGTGTAAACAGTGAACTGTTGATGAGCGTTTATCAATTATGTTTTTTAGAGGAACATTGGTTACGGTTTTGTTTCCCTTTAAAAGATTATATAATCATAAAACCTATAGTGCAGATAAGCTTAGCTCTGTATTTATTTTTTTTATTCACTTTTCTGTGTATTTTTTTATACTGTTTGAGCAAAGGAACCAGAACAGAATAAAAGAGCATTTCGTAGACTTGAATGTCTTTTTTTCCCTCCAAGACGACTATTTTGTCCACATTGATTTGTTTAATTTGTTTATCCTCGTCCCTGATTGGATTAGCTGGAATGCATTAAAAGCGTTGCCTTACCATTGGTATTGATTTCCCTTTATCCAGATGAATGGAGGGATTTTCATGATTGTAGCCAAGATGTCGTGCAATCCCTCTCAGAAGGAGACTAAGAAGCTCCCTGTCATGTGAGTACCATGCACTCACTGACTTATCTCACGTTGTAAAAGTGACTTTGATGGCCGTTTTTCATCATGGTATGTAAATGTGTAAATGTGATACTGTATGAAGATTATGAAGATTAAGAAGCTTATGTAAAATTTAAATTGAAGCACTATACAACATACATTACAAATAACTGCTAACAGCCTCAACAAAGCTACAACACTAAATCGCTGCTTACATTTTCAAACTGTGTGACTTTTATTTTTTTGGGGTTCGCATTACAAAACTGTTGTGGATGTAGTTCAGAAACTGGTTTGTGACCGGTGAACTAACAGGGAACAGAGGGGAATACATCTGTCTCATTCAGTCAACGCTGATTTGATAAACAATGATCATGTCAGGCCTTGTTATTGATCAGACCACAGGTGCATAAACGACTCCCAAGTCTCGGTGTCAGTATTCATCCCATGGTTTCTCTACGAAGCCTTTTTCTGCTGGTTCTAGTCATTCTGGCTTTTCTGTCTCTACATTTCTTCATTATCCTGGTCATGGGCATCAATTAATGATGACCACATTGTTGTGATATCACAAGTAAACGTATATAGTGGTATGAAGTAAATTCGTTTTCAAATGTTACATTTACTAATGGCTAGTTAACTAGCCGGCAGGGAAATAAAACAAAGTAATCAGAGTTATTAGTAACATGTGCTGTTCCCAGTCAAAGCTTAACCATGTCATTGTCTTGTACATCCAAGTTGTACATGTAAAGATGCAGCATGGTGATGTTGTCTGTCTCATGGTTTGTCAAACCTTCTCCCCCCCACTGACCTCTGTGTTTTCTCTCTCCAGTGAGACTATTCGCAATGCCTTCCTGCTGTTGCTGGTAGCCACCTCCACCTGGTTGTGTGGTCTGATGTCCGTGAACAACAGCATCCTGGCTTTCTACTACATATTCGATGTCCTCTGCCTCGTGCAGGTATGAACAGAGTGTATGTTTATATATAGAAATGTTGCACTGATTCACCTTCCATCCCGTTCCTTACTGCCTTTACATTTGTGCATATAGTACGTCAAAATTACTGGCCAAGTAATACTTTTTGTTTTATTGCTTGAATACAAAGAAGAACAAGGTAGTGCTCGTCAAAAGGAAAAGACATGATGAAAATCTGCAAGGATCTTGCAGTTTAGCACCTTAAACTTAATCTGTGTCCATCTACCGCTCTCTCTCTCTCTCTCTCTCTCCCAGGGTTTGTCGGTGATGCTGGTCTTTACTGTGTTCAACGCCGAGGTTAAGGAGGCCTGGAGCGTAGTCTGTTTGGGTAAGAAGAGCCCCGGAGAAGACCCACCAAGACCCCCACAGAACACTGTGAGTTACACACACAAACAGCCTCCCGTAGTGGTTTTTGCTGCATAACTTAAAAAGTTTTTATGTTGTCAGATGTCTTGGTTTGCCTTGACATTACTATGCAATCATTTACTCAGCTCATTGTGTAAATAAAGATTTAAAGATATGTTTGATGATTTATATGAGCTATAACAGCATAATTCATCATTCATCAATCATTATTGCACATTAACGACTTGCAGGGTGAATGTAAGACCCTGATGTGAAGCTGTAAATCGTCCCGCTGCATGATCCCGAAGCCATTTACTATGTTTTATTCTCTTCCACAGTATTCCCTCTTTTTTCTCTTGATGCACATTCTCACTGTGTCCATTACTAGACCAGCACAAATGCCCTCCTGCCTTTCATTCCTCCTTCCCTCTATCCACCCATCCATCTTTCCTGTCCTCCCTCTCCTGTCTTTCTGCCTTCAGGGCTTGTCGCTGACCCAGATAAGACAATATACTGACCAGTGGGGGTCTGCTCACTCTTAAGTCCACTTCTTCAAAAGCACTGTGCAGTGTCTATTTAGAGTGGGTGTGTGTGTGTGTGTGTGTGTGTGTGTGTGTGTGTGCGTGTGTGTGTGTGTGTGTGTGTGTGTGTGTGTGTGTGTGTGTGTAGCCCTTTCCTGTCTGCACATCTTTTCTTCACTCTCTCTTCTATCTCATATGTGTGTTTTAGCTCACTGCACTCGGTTTTCTAAAGTCTCTCTCATTATCTCTCCTCTGTGCTATACAGTGTGTGTGTGTGTGTGTGTGTGTGTGTGTGTGTGTGTGTGTGTGTGTGTGTGTGTGTGTGTGTGTGTGTGTGTGTGTGTGTGTGTGTGTG